ATTAAAGTAGGCTTTCTCGGATAAAAGCCCACATTTACACCAAAAATAGATATGTGCATCTATTGCTTTTACACGTACAGTGTATCTATGGCATTGTCGGTTTAACAACTGTTAATTGCGAAAATCCGTACTCTTCATTCAACATTTTCTACAAGGCACAACTTAATCAATAATTTCTAATTTCTAATTTATACTTGAAGAGCGTTGACCTAGTCTTGGAGCAGTCCAAAGTTGGCAAACCACACCTCATCGTTGAACACATTGGAGATAACATATGTGAATATCATGAATGCTGCACATTTATTTATAGATGTACATGATACTTATGTTTACGTCGCTGCTCTATAGAACCTGAAATATCTTCAGAAAGTCAGTCAGCTAAGTATCATGTTGGAGACACAACAAAGGTTCGATCCCGGCATCTCTTGGAAGATGGTAATGAGACTTCGGACTAATTAGGTTTCGCCTAATTAAATACATACGTTGATGAGCGTGTCGAATCATTGGGCTCAGATTACCTTGCTATCTCCTTCACAGGATATGATAATAGAGTCGAGAATCAACTAGACCTCCAGCAAATCAGAATTTTGCTTTTTCCTCTTTCCCTTTTGTGTCAGCTTAAGCTTAATAATTTGTTCACGTACCATAAACGTCAATTTCTGTGTAATAATCTTTTGTATGATTTTTGTATTTCACTAGTGTGACATAGAGACGTTTGAAATAAATTAATGCGCTTTTGTTTTTATATCAATCTTTAGAGGAATTCGACCAATGAAAACAGAGAACACATTTATTATTGTAAAAATAACCAATCAAAATGCCTGGTGAATGAACATTAAAATAATTTGTAACAAACGCATGCTATGCTGAAGTATTGTTTTAACATATATTTGACCAATTTTCAGTTGCTTCTTAATCTTGATTAATTTAGACCCTTAGTATCACAACGCTAGAAGGTCGAAAAGGGTGTACGATGCAGGTTGATTAATTTGGTTCTTCTGTATCTAATTCAAAATCTGTATTAAAAGGGGTCATTTCCTTTTGTGTTTCTATTATGCAAACTACTGAGACTTCTAAGATTTCTTGTGGACAGTACTTCAGTCATAGCCTTGAAAAGTCTTATTTTTTATGCTGTTTTATCTATAAGGACAATAACACACCGGAATTGAAAAGGATGCAGGTTAGTGAAGATTATGAAAACGTTTGTCTGGTCTGATCTCATAAGAAAATCTTCCATTTCTGTTCGTTATAAGAATTTTCACAAGTGTGAGGCTTTTTAGTCTGCACGTTGGTTTTAAGAACGAGATGATGCTTGGATTGACCTAGATTTTCCTAGTAGGTGGTATCAATGAAGCGAAAGACGCTGATACTTCTCGAACACATGGTGTTTTGTTATCCTTGTACTTTCTCAAGAGTTCATCTGTAAGTCTGGCTGGTGTTCATGACTTGTCCTTGGTCATCGATTAGGAATTTTAATTAAGGTTCTGTTGACAAGTCGATTTTTAGTTTCGTCGTTTGTTATCAATATAAGCAAATAGATACAAATATCGTAACGCAGTGAAATGAAGATATTATTAGTTATTGTTCCAAGTTAGTAGGCAGACGGGATAAACAATGCACATGCTGGTCGGATTTAACAGAAAATCAAAGCACTGTCTGACAATAATTTTAATCAGTTTAATGATATAGAAATGAAATTGAATAACACATGTCTCGATGCAAAGAAAAAAACATCGGAAGTAGATAAACAATTTTGTCTGTATACATATCAATCTATGTCAAGTCTTAACACAGAGTTACTTGACATATAGTATGAAACATCGTGTAAATAGCCCCTTCAGTTAATTTCTATATATTATGTAATATAATATAAAATAAGTTAATTAAATAATTAAATGAGAAAAAATGTAGTAATGAATGCATTCTAAGCCGTCCCAGATTTCCCATATCGAAGGCATCGCATTTCATGAATTATATATGGATAGCAAACATGGGTGTTTGGTACAGAATCACGTAATACATGTACGTAATCCAAATTACAATATAGCGAACTGGATTGCATATATTTCGGAATTTAGTTTTCCGTTGTGTAGATTTATTCAATAATATTCCTGTGCTATTTTACAATTTGTTACAATTAAGCTTATTTTACATTATCATAGTTTTAGGTTTTCAATCAGGTTCAGGGATGTTCTTTGTTGTCACACATTATCTTCTAAATTATACATTAATAATATGATTAGTTCATTTATATTTATTCCAATTTTGTTAGATACATTCAACAACCAATCGATAAACTGGAAACTTGTTTGATCACTGCAGCGAGGATATAAGTAAGATTCGTGTTGATGTAATTTCCATTGATGAAATATCATGATTTAATTTTGAATCGATGCTTACTATTCATAGCATTGAAATGTACTGATTTTTTTTCGGAGGCAAATGAAGGGAAAGTTGAATAAAAAGAGTTTTCTCCAAAATCTATGAATTCTTATTGAAGGCCATTATTTTAAAGAGGTCGAATAACATGATGATTTGTTGACACAACTGCATCTAGCATTCTTATCCTATTTCGTGCTCGTGGCAGTTTTCATTGGTAGTTGGCCTACAGTTTAGACATCTAGTATAAAAATTAGGAAAATTCTAAATTGTTTTTTGATATCCAATAATCTTGAAAATACATCAAAATATACATGAGTGTTACATCATTGACCTTCACGATATTTACTAAATGGCGATCAAGTTGTTTTAGTTACATCCGTCAACATTATTACTAAAACAAAAGTACAGAACACGTGTATTATATAACATTACATAACTTTGATCGCGTTTTCACGTACGGGGAGTTGTGGGATGTAAAAAACGTTGATTATGTGTCTGCCTCTGCATTGCCTTGAGATATTCCATATGCATTAGTTAATGTGTTTTCCTACAAAAATATCCAATGTGAACTTCGTGTGAGAAAACCGACCGCACTTCAGTTTTACAGAAATTGATTTAATCAGGTAATTGAACTTAATTATAACTAAAATTTTATTTCATTTAAAAGTAATTCCGTGATAGTCAATTAAGCACAAATCATCACCTTGAAAACTTTCTACATTTACCGAACAACAATAATTTTTCCGAATTGATTGGATTTCATAAGCTAAAATTCCAAGAAGTTAGAAAAAAATAATTTAAAAACTTTTACTAATGAAAAGTTAAAAAATAGATTAACATATGGAAATTTAAACCAATCTTTCTACATTATCTTCGAATATTTTGGCATTATCATTTGCTAAATTTCAAATGCAACTGTCAATGTTCAGGTTCATACAAGAGTTCATGAAAATAATTGGAATCAGGATATAGACATTTTTACCCATTGTTGATATCAAATAAGTTTTCGTATCGATTAAATTAACTCTGACCATCACAATATGTTGTCTTTGCCATTGTCATAACATTGTCGAGTTACAGCAAATAAAAATCTTTTTTTTTTAACATTATGTTTGATCTGAAAAATCTTGCTTACTGAAAAAGTATAGCAAAGTTAGTAATGGCCTTTGATGAAAACACAGCCTAGTGCGTCATTCCATCATAAAGACATGCTGTGTAAAGGATACCAACCATAGAGGTCATTTTGTGAGAACATTTTTCTTCGTACACCATACTGATGTTTTACCGTACTCACACTAGACTACCGGTTATTTAACTTTAAAACATAAATTGGAACCAGTGTTCTGGGTTTCTTCTGTAAAGAACTCCAAAGAGCTTTTGATCAATCTTCAACACCATCTTCTAAAAGCGATTTCTTGTATAAGAACATTTGATTTTTCTTCGCAGTTCACCACCATATCCGATTCTAAATTGAACGAACGCCATTATTCTCTTGCTATGAGAGCTATCTTTTCAAGAAAGGTGATACAGATATAATGGTTGTAAATTATGCTGAAGCGTATTTCGTGAAATATACGTCCAAATCAAAGAAGAAATATACGAAATCATAAAATGATCGAGTTTCGGATTGACAACAGGTCATTGGCATGTCTATGGGAACTGATTGTGCTACTTCTACATATGAGGCTGAATTTGACCAGGAACTCATCAAAGCAAAGTCGCTTAATTTCACTTTCCGACATGTTGATGATGTTTGTCTATAAATAACAAGAAATTTATTGACCACGTCTATCGTATATACCCACCAGAATTGGAAATCAAGGACACTAGAGACTCTTCTACATCAGCCGCTTATCTGGATCTTTTCGTTCAACGAAACCGCTTTGGACAGCTGTATGCTAAGCGTGATGAATTTTACTTTCCTATTGTGATCTTTTTCATTTCTGGATAGCAATATTCCTGCACCTATAATGTTTACATGTCAAACTTGATTCAATATGCAATGGCCTGTTCCCATTATCACGGATTTGTGCATGAAGTCGTCAACTGACGGACAACCTTGTAAGACATGGTTTCAAAAGATGCAGGTTGATAAAAATTATATGGAAGTTTTATGGTCATCATGGTGCTCTTAATGAGAAATATTATATTTCCTTTGTGCGATATGAAGCTGGACAGGTTTGATGCTCGTTCGTTTGCCTTATTGTCTCTGTTGTCGTTTGCCTTGTTTCTATTGGAGAAAATGTTTCTGCACTCATAATTCATTCATTTGCATTTTATTGTATGCATTTATCATCCGTTGAATGGTTTACTATCTTACATACAGACATATCAATGCGTAATATATTTGTGGGCCATATATTTTTACTTGTCAGTAAACGTGTCCCATTGCTATGCAATAAAATTTTGATTAAAGGCAATTGCTTGTCATAAGAAAAACTATGCCCCTACCGTTTTATTTTATTCGTGTTGCTGTCAGCTTTTTTATTTACTGAATGATAAGATGATTTGTGTATACTCTTTAACACTACTAATATTCGCTACAATAAAAAGGGTACGTTTACTATTTATCTATTAGCTATACATGTATAACAACAAAACGTGTTAGTAAATCTTACCTCTCGCAGTCGATGTATTGCTCTTACTATCTCGATCAGGATACTTGAATTTTTTCTTCTCATGACCTTCTCCAATACGCTTCCAAGCTCTTTTAGGAGTTTCCAAAGTTTTAAAATTCCTGATCTCGGCGTGGAATGCGTCTTGTTGCATGTTCGAATCGAATACTTTGGAATAAGCTAACTACAATAATTATCAAACATTGACGATGGGTGACAAGAAAAGCTTCAAGATAACAATGTTCAGCTTTTAACGGATCACGGTTAGTGTTAAAAGGATATGATGGTGACACAAATATTATGCTGTTGTCAACAAGGAGTTTCAAGGCAAAACAAACCAAGCTGTTACATCGTCAAATATTTTGCACTGATCTATAAGACACGACTACTGCTGATCAATATCCATCTAAAGGTGTCTATATGCGCTGTACACCACCAACCAAGTACACCCTTCCATCGGCAGCACTACAACCAATGCGCCCTATCTCTTCCGTACCAATACATCAATACCGACCACGGCTGCGATAACACTCAAGCCTCCGCTATTTTTGACTTGGACATTTATTTATTGAACAAACTAAGGTCATTTTTGTTTAAATGCCAATTGCAGTGTCCACCAGTTTTGTTCCATCTTAGAATTCCGAAATTATTCATATTTTCAAATAGTATCTACAATCGCAATCAGCTCTGTGTATTGATGGTATATTCTGATGTATCTGTCAGTCTCTCCAAAGGAACATTCGATTAATTCAGACAGATCGCTTTGCCTTCAATGTTTATGATAACATCTTGTGTACACATCTTGCCGTCACGCCATTTGATTAGCTCTACACACACTGTTCAAACAGTCATCACAACGAAATGCCCAAACAGATTCCGAAGTTCCCCAAACAATTTGTTTTTCTTTCTTTCGTCGACTTAATTATTTAGATATGCAAAGAACTGTATTTGAAACTCAGTGTATTCGATTATGAAAGCATTAGCAAAAAATGGCATTGGCCATTTGCCAATCGAAATGAACCAAGCCAAAACAAGAAAATTAATAAACAAGCCCTTTTTGATACCACTTTCAAGTTTCTTGCACTAGACCTTCTACAGTAGTCATATTGCTCATGTAATTACAATACCTTAAATGGCAACTTAATTTCCTATAACCTTGTTCTGGTATACTATCTCCTCAAAAAATAAATACACAACAAAAATACGAAATTTAACCACCATACCAAGTTTGTTATCGTACTCAAACATGGAATTATACCTCATGTGCCGGTTTTGTATTCCTCCCAACTCTTGTCTGTGTCTCCTTCTCATTTGGTTGTCAATTTCAAATTTACTGTATGGTTGCGTTCATAACTGTAATGAAATTAAGATAATATTGTTTCGTGATAATTTTGTCTTGATCATCTACGCCTCCAGTGTACTATGAATCTATCAAGGGTGAATACCACGGTTCGCCGGACATCAAATATCTATGCATACTCTTTCTTTCTTTTTGTCATGTTTTGTCTGTAGATTTCAACACTTAAAAGCTCTCATCACTTACGAGTCTTGGAAGGACAAAAATGTAATTTTTGATGCACATGTAATCTAATTCAATATTTGGCTTGGCTATGTGGGTTCGGCCAGTGTTTAACAATCTACGCAAAGTTTGTTAATAGGACTGAAAGCTTGGGATAAAGAGGTCATTAAGGCCTTAGAGGGAGTGACTAATTATTTAAACTGAACCGCTGAAATACTAATGATATCAGATTAGTAAGCGACAGTAACAAACGAATCCAGGCCAATTAATGATATATCACAACGACGAATGGATTTAGAGGCGAATGTGCCAATGATTATAACCAAGGATTTAGTTAGATAGACTGGTGGTCTAGAACATGACACGTCTAGACCACGATTTTATGTTCTATTGTTTTTCATCGGTTTCTTTTTTTCCTCGATTTTTGAAGACTATTATATTTCTCTTATCATTCTTGACAACTTTGACATACAAACACCCTCTAGAACATTAAATTTATCATATTCAAAGTAATTGGCTATGATCTAAAACAATTCTTTGAACTCAGAATTCAGAAAAGGTGCTAGACAATGTCCAAAAAGAAGAGCTGAAGCTTGCATTTTCACCTCCCTAGTATATTCTCTCCCAAAACACAAACCCGGGTTTTAAATCATCGAAATCTTACTTGATAACTCTCATAGCATCGGTAGTGTTGCTGAACTATGTGTTTCTACAATTAGACAAGCCTTGCCAATCGTCATGTGTGAGTAACCTTCACGACTTTACCACAATGAAGCTCCCTAGTGGAGATGGCAATGTCGTTTGTGACAATTATGTGGCGCTGAATTAATTCACATGACTCAAATTGTACAGGAAAGCTTCTCATTTACATTCCGGTGCTTTGATCACTTTTTAATTGGTCCTAAAACAAGTAAAATATGGCTATATATGAAGTATCAATTATTATGGATTGTGATAACAAGGGACATCGTTAAGGTATATTAAAATTCTATTAGACGTTATTTCCGTCGGGTAAATTTCAAAGTCCTGTCAATGACTATCCGTGATGAAAGGAGACGATATTCTGGAGTAGAACAAATGAGAACTTAAGTGTCTGAGCTCTTTTGTATACTATGCAATTACATTGCTGTCGATAATAAGACAACATGTTGAATCACACACCACCAGCACGGTGTATGTCCGCCATGGATCATCCTTCAACAATATGCTTAAGAGAGAAATTTTACCTACTGAAAAGTATTGTCTACACTTAGGAGAAATTGCTTGATTCATAAAAGGTTCCTGAATAGGTATGTTTAAATCTATAGTTAGTTAATTCTTTGTTTGGATCCTTTGTATTCACTTTTGTGTCTTTTGTACAATCTTGTACGAAATTGTACATTGTGGATATTGCTGTTGGACTTTTAGTCCCCGAGGTTTTCCTAGTCTGCATGCCACGTTTTAACTTATTCGAATACTGGCAATTTCGTGGATTACCGGCTTTATGTGCACCTTATTTTGTTCGTAACTGGTGTATGTTGTTAGATCTTATATACTTTACGGTCTTGCCTGCTTTCATTTTCTGTAAAACGGGTAAGTGACTTTGGTTTTTTATGTCACAGGAACTGCCTTATGCAACTGTATATTTATTTTGTACATGCGGACAGATTTCAAGTAAGTGAAGTAAGATAAACATGTAACTTTATCTTTAAAAAAATCCATATAAGAGACACGTATATTCGATAAAGATATGTCCCAATCAAGGACGAAATACACGAAGGGAAACTCATAAAACAGTTGAGTTTCTGGTTGACAATATCTTCGTCGAGTGTGATGGTAAAATCTTCTAACAGATCAATGGCATACATATGGGACTAACTGTGCCCTCTGATGGATGACTTGAAATCAAAGACATGACAGATTGTTCTACAACAGCCGCTAATATCGACCTTTCCCCACAACGACATCAACATGGTTAGTTTGCCACCAAGGTCTATGGTAAGGGTGATGATATAAATTTCTCTATTGTGTATTTTCCATTTCTGGATAGCAACATTCATGCGTTCCCAACATATGGTTTACATGTACATGTCACTGTTGATTCGATATTCAAGATCATATTCTTAATATCACAGTTTTCATGTAAGATGTAAAATTCATATCACAATGTTTCGCGAGATGCATGTTAATGAAAATTATGGGGCAGTTTGAGGTCGTCATAATGATCTCATTGAGAAATATTATATTTCGTCGTGCGAAACTACTAGTTACGTTTTTGTTGTTGTTGTTCGTTTTAGAACGTGACATTACTGACTTTGATCGACCAATATTTGTTTTGAAGCAACTTGTTCAGAAGTCACCCTGTAAATCTTTCTCCTAGAAATAGTATACAACTTGCATCAAAAGACAACGTGTTGGTTACGGTAAACACACCATAGTTACAGGTGTTACCTTAAATTCTGTGAACCAAAAACCGTTACAAGTACAGCATCAGTTTTAATCCTGACACGCTGGTTGTCGGCTAAGTATACCACTTTTACTGTGTATATACTGTGTTTTTAGTGTCTATAAATTATTTATGGGCATGTCGTCTCAGGGTTATGCATGTACAAAAAGAGAAGTAGAGATATTATCACGATAAGTGTAACGACGAGCTCATAGAAACGCACGTCGTTTACATTGTATTGCTGGCGCCAAAGGAATAGGTATTTAGAAATAACAAATTGACCTGTACCTGATGAGGCGAAGAAATCTAATCTCGACAAATACTTACACATATATATCCTAGTGATTAGTAATATAAATACTTAGGCATATAAAATAGTGTAATTATTTGAGTAGAAGATGAAATTATTATTCAATACGTTCATTATTCCTGTTTTACATGTGATTATATACAATACAAACATTATGGTAGATAGTGTTCGATTCTAGTGTGATATTGCTATATGATAATTATCTAAAGACTACATTGTATGTCAATTTAGTTTGTCATGTACCACTGAGATGTCATGGGTGCGACAGGACATAAATAGACTCCGCTGGATGTCCAATCCCTTTGTCATATGTGCATTCATATGTCAATAAAATTGCTTAAAATTGAAATTAAAAACGAATCCACATAACTTTCACTTTAACGGCACGTGACAAGGTATCGACGCCCTTAATGACGAGGACTTACGTTCTCAAACTGCATATATCTTTCATGGAAATACCACGCGCTTGGAGGTCCATTGTTAAAGAACATCCTATTTTGTGTAGATCTATCAATATAACTGCACATTTAAGGTGTAGGTTAATGAATTCATTCGTGCCTTCATTGTACTTGACATTGGCTTTACGATACAAGTGTGGCGTTTTCTAAACGACTCTGCTTATACCAGGTTTGTGAACTCAATTACTATAAAAAATTGAACTTCAAATAAAGCTGGCATTTTAATTATCTCTCTGTGTTAAATTAACTTTTGGCCTTTGCTTTTGGTGTGAATTATGCATAAAGGTATTACTATATCTGGTATGCTCTCATCTATACTTTCCAATAAGGTGACTATTTACGTGTCAATTAACCAAATAACCCTCCTGTGTTTACAAAACCACACATTATCAAATTACGGTACGACCTTAAGGCAACCGTTGTCAAAGACGCAGTCAGTTGCAAAGCAGGGAATTTCAGTTACGATACTTCCATTAAGCGGCATACGTAAATGAGAGTACAGAGCGGAATCATTAAAAAACAACTGTATTTTAAAGAATGCAAGCGATGAACACATCAAGGGTACGGGGCGCAAGTGTGCGCGACAGCAGACAAAGAATCACAGAAACATAAAAAAAAGATATCATAATCGTTGATCTGGAACATTAATTTTCTGTTTGCGGATTTGGTGTTATTTTGCAGACCGTCGTCTGTTGTTTACTTCCTGCATATACATATGTATCAGTTGT